GGGTGAGAACGGAAATAAATTGATTGTATTGAGGATGAGTTGAATGCGTCTAAATCGAGCATGAGTATGTTTGGTATATTAGTGTGGGAGATCGACCTTGAGTGCCTTGGCTTGTATTCATCTCTCGTGACATTGTGTGGCTGATTTTGTGGAGTGCGATTGGCCAATGATTGGTTTGAAATATGTGTTTGAATTGTGAATCGCACGTTGGGCCACACTGTATTAATTGGGCCAATTGAGCACGTGCTGTGATATTGAGTGATTGGATTTCATTGGCGCTCGTGGTGCATTGCATTGCATAACATGGACACGCATTGTGTATGCCAAGAGTGTGGCATGTGGTGAAATTGTGCGAGAATGCGTGTCTGCCATGAGCATGTGATCACCTAAAATACCCTGAAGCGTTATACGCTGGGTTCAGATAATAATAAGTTGTGTGATCACCTAAGGACCTTCGGGTCGATACCGTCCTCATGCACTTTGAAGCAGGACGATGCCCGGTACGTCCGGAAGGCGACCATCCTCATGCACTTTGAAGCAGGCTCTGGTTCGCAAGGAGACAGTGTTGCGCCTCATGCACTTTGAAGCAGGCTAGAGACACTGGGCCAGATCGGTTGCTGCGCTTCACGCACTTTAAAGCAGGCTAGACGCACCGGGCCGTGAAAAATTGATGACTCGAGTCGTAATAATAATGAATTGGGCAAGTGTGCCAGTGTGGGCCAGTGGGCCGGAGAAATACGCATGACATGTCGACGACATTTGCATGCATGAACATCCATAGACTGGCATACGAAGGTGTGAGAATCAGTGCATGAGCATGTAATTGGCATACGGGTGATCATGCGTGCCACGTATGTGCCGTGATTATTATATGTTGATCTGTCTAACCTGCAGGGTCTGAGAATGGTTTGATTATTGTCGTGTTGTGATTATAAATATTTGTTTCCGGTCAGGAGATTGCATGCTAGCCTAGCCTAGGTTTAGGGGTTGAACTCGCTGAGATTCGTCTCACGGTTGTGTAAACCGAAACATTTTCAGACCCCCAACCGTAGGATGCCGAGGACACCACCACTTTTTGGGATGCTGCATTTCATCCAGCGGTCGTTGAGCGTGCACCCCTGTGGAGACGGAGCAGAACGGAGAAGTGGCTGTTTGGGTTATTCCCAGCTGTTGGTGTTTCCTTTTTGGTTGTCGTGAACACTGTAAAAAGAGTTTTAAAATAGTAATATAAGTATGTACATATTTTCTGCGTTGATCGTTGTTTATTGGATGGCTATCCTTGGCTCATATTGTAATTGTCTGGGTTTGTTTATTTTATACTTCCACTTGTGCTTGATCTCTGTATGGGCGTGGGTCGGCGACGCTTCCTGGGACGTCGCAATTTATCGACCGAAGGTGGGATGCTCACGCTTCGTGGGGGTACGGGGCGTGACATTTCCCGATCCAATGATAATCGCTTGCAAGCTTTTTGTGATGCGGATTGGGCTGGTAGCTCTACCGACAGGAAGTCAACTGGAGGGTATGCTATTTTTCTTGGTCCTAATTTGATCTCTTGGAGCTCCAGAAAACAACGAACCGTAGCGCGCTCTTCCACAGAGTCTGAGTATAAAGCTCTTGCCGATGCTGCAGCTGAACTCATTTGGCTTGAGTCACTCTTTCAAGAGCTTGGGTTCCCTTTTCAAGGTCCCCCCATTCTTTGGTGCGATAATATTGGTGCCACTTATTTGTCTGCAAATCCAGTTTTCCATGCTCGTACCAAACATGTTGAAATTGACTTCCACTTTGTTCGTGATCGCGTTGCCAAACGACAACTCAGTGTGCAGTTTATCTCAACAGCTGACCAACTAGCTAATGCTCTCACCAAAGCTCTTCCCAAAGCACGTTTTGCATTTTTACGAGACAAGTTGAAGATTTGCAGTCTCGATTCTTCAACTTGAGGGGGTGTATCAACCAAATATATATCTACCAAATATAGGGTAATCAATTTTAGAAGATTTGGAATCTTATCTTTAGAAATTAGAAAGTTTTTGTATTTTATTTATTTCTTTCTTGCTAGTAAATCTTCTAGAATGTACTCTTAGGTATTTATATACCCCAACTAAGCTTAATGGAAATACGCAACGATTTCTATTTCAACAGTGAGAAGACAGCGTAATGATAAAAAATGGAACGGTAAATAACCAAAAGATACCCATACCTTCACTCGATGAATGCTCGGAAGAGGTGATCGCAAAGTTCCTCTCAGGAAAACGACATCGCTTAAATGGGTGAGCCAATATAGGGAGAAGTTGAGTAGCCTTGAAAATCGTTGCATTGGCATCCGGAGAAAATAGGAGGGATCGATACTCGTTCCACCAATCGCGAGTCTGATCAGGAATGCTAATGAAACTATGGGAGTCTACTCGCTTTGAGATAATACCAGTAATTTCAAGACAATTTCCAAATGCAACTTGCCCTTGAGAAAATGGGTATTCCATGGAGTAGACAATGGGTATAAAAATGCCTTGAACGAACCCAAATTGACGAGCACAGAAATGAGAGTTATAGATCTCAAAGCCTGGGTAGAACTTTCCATTGCTGGAAAAATCTAAAATTAAGTCCCTTAGAATGAGTACACCTTTTTAGAATAATTCGAGATCTATGTTATTATAGTCATAAAACGCTTGGTCAATATCAGCGACGTCGAAAGTGAACTCCAGAAGAAGTAAGATGCGTCTTAAGAAACATTCAAAAGAGGAAAAGCCAACAGGAATGAGCTTAACAAGCAAGAACATGTCCAAAATCCTGGATCTCTGTCAAACTCTTGGAAATGAATATCACTCCATTGGACAGGAGGCATTGGGTTACCGAATAGATCAGGGAACTATAATCGTACCCAACCAAGGAAAAGCCACAATGGGCCGAAAAAGGATCAAGATTTGCACTATAAAGAGAAATTTGTACGTCAGACAAGGACCTATAGAGAGTAGCCAGGACTATGCATCCCAAACCAATGTTTAGGCCATGAAAAAAGGCGTAGACAGCATCGACGAACTCCCGAGACATAATCACGGAAGGATGACAAAATACATAAGTGTGGCAAGCATGCTGTAATCTAGCCTACCATTCTCGGATATACAATCATTCCTGACACCTTACGGTTTTTGGTTTTTGTCGCCGACAAACACGCACATTCAGTTTTCTTTAGCTCCCCAAGGGAGGCAGTGTGCTTATCCAAGTCATATTCCACCTGAGCCCTCTGGATATGCTTGAGGTTCTGTCGTTGGTGCACATCAGCTAGTTTCTTCACAATCTCGGCCATTTGCCTTTCGCAAAATATTTCTTGCCCGTCGAGACGCACTATTTCATCCACTACAGCCTGCAAGGCGGCGTGTCCATCCTTTACATTTTGGCTAACTTCGTTCACATGATCATTAACATCTAAGTTACCTTGTTCCGCGATGGTCAGAGACATTATCGGCTTGTAGTTGCGTCGATAGACTCCAGTTTAGTAGCAAACTCCTTGTTGAAATCTTGAAGTTTCTCTTTGAGCCCAGAAGGCAAGGTAGAACTGATGCTATCCTTACACAACTCACCTTTGGAACTTCAGCTTCCCGCAAAATTGCTATTGAACAAGCAAGAACCAGACTGGCAAGGCTCTTCAACCTTTCAAGTGGTGGACTTCCAATGATTATGAACAACAATGTAGCTTTCGACCAACTTAAATGCTAAATCACCGGGGCTGGTTGTCAATACAAAAGAGGCTTCTTCCGGTATACGTTTGGCTTCAATAAGGGAATTCGGAGAGCTCTCGTCCCCAACGAGAAATGGTCGTTGAACTGAGCAAGAAGGTAATGATGGGGCGTCAGATTGATGCCGAGCAGAAACAGAGGTTGACGGAACAGTTGAATCATCAGTTCCACTTGGTATAGCAGGAGACGATGCAACATCGACAACTCGATGAGGCGCAAATGATGATGGATTTGATGACTATGCTCATGTGGTATCTAAAGTATCAGAAAATCAAAAGGTAAGTCACCAAGTTATATAATGGCAATGTAAGATATAACGTAATCCTTTTATGCGGAAAATTTATGACATCTAGGATCTTAGATCTTCATGATTTTCACAATAAGAGGGATGAAGACATACCTTTATCCATAGCGTTGCCCTTGACGATAATTGTTGCAGAAAACGGAAGAAATGAAGAAATCTGATTTCTCTCCTTTACCCACTTTTCTCTTAACGTATCTTATCGATGGAGGATAAAAATACAACGTTCTTTTTCGTGCGTTGTCGTGGGTGGAGAGAGGACCAGATTCTTTTATATATATCCATTCAAGTGGTGCCTTCCATCAAAGCATATCCCACTTCATAAGAGTTGCACCTCTTCGGAGGAACTTTAACTTCTCAATAGAATTACACCTTTTCATCTATTTTTCATAGCCAATACATTTTAGCACTTAAATATTTATTAAATCATTAATTCATAATATCATGTGGGCCACATTATTCTTACATTCTCCTACTTGGCCCATATGACCTTCTTTTCATGGTTTAATAAAGACCATAATGTGCATAATAATATTATGCTAAAACCTTTATTAAATTGCCTATCACATAATGATCATAGTTAAATAAAGAAACTAATGCGAGTCATAGCGGTTGTATGCCATTAATCGACATATTCCATGTACTACAACTACAGCTCCCTACTTAACATGATCCATAAATGAGAAGTATAGTAATGGTCCAACTATAATGTCTCTATTAGAGACTGTCTTGTTACACATTCATCTATTTCCATCATGTATACCAAATAGAAAACAGGAAATATCAGAAACACATAATTGAGCTCATAGTGTCAAATAAATAAACTTAATGCACTCATAATACAATCATTAATGACATCCAATAATACCCATCCTTTCAACATGTTCTTTAAATATTTTGGGCGGCAGTCCATTTGTTAAGGGATCTGCAATCATAAGGTTGGTGCTAATGTGCTCAATTGACACTCTTTATTTCTGAACTTCTTCTTTAACGGACAAGTATTTAATCTCGATATGTTTAGCACCCTTGGAGTACTTGTCGTTCTTAGAGAAGAAAACTGCTGCAGATTTATCACAATAAATTTTCAGCGGCCCGGCAATACTGTTGACAATCACAAGCCCTGAAATAAAGTTCCGCAGCCATATCCCATGAATAGTGGCCTCAAAGCATGCCACAAACTCAGCCTCCATAGTAGATGTAGCAATAACTGACTGCTTTGCACTTTTCCATGAAATTGCACCTCCAGCCAAAAGATACAAATAGCCAAAAGTTGATTTTCTTGTATCAGTACATCTGGCTAAGTCTGAATCTGAATATCCAATCACCTCAGGATGATCAGATCTTTTATAAGTGAGCATGTGATTCTTCGTTCCTTGCAAGTATCTGAGAACTTTCTTTGCAGCTTTCCAATGATCTAATCCTGGGTTACTTTGATACCTGCCCAGCATTCCGACAGCAAAACTAATGTCTGGTCTGGTGCAATTTTGAGCATACATTAAGCTTCCGACAACAGATGCATAAGGAATACTTTTCATTCGTTCTTGTTCCAATTCACTTTTTGGACATTGCATAAGACTAAATTTGTCACCTTTCTAAATTGGAACTGCTCATGCTGAACATTTATTCATATTAAATCTCTCTAAAATTTTATCAATATAGGCTTTCTGAGACAACCCTAACAATCCTTGTGATCTATCACGGAATATTTCTATTCCTATCACATACGTTGCCTCTCCCATATCTTTCATTTCAAAATTTTTAGAGAGAAATTTCTTGGTTTCATGTAACAAACCAAGATCATTAGTAGCAAGCAAAAGGTCATCAATATACAGAACTAGAAAAATAAACTTGCTCCCACTGACCTTCATGTATATACACCGATCAACAGTGTTTTCCTTAAATCCAAAAGAAGTTATGGTATCATTAAATTTAAGATACCATTGTCGGGAAGCTTGTTTAAGTCCATTTATTTATTTCTTTAACTTACACATCATGTGTTCCTTTCCTTTAATTGAAAAGCCCTCGGGTTGGTCCATATAAACTTCTTCCTCTAAATTTCCATTAAGAAAGGCAGTTTTAACATCCATTTGGTGTAACTCTAAATCGTAATGAGCCACCAAAGCCATAATGATTCTAAGTGAGTCTTTCTTGGAGATTGGTGAAAATGTCTCCTTATAGTCAATGCCTTCTTTCTGAGTAAAACCTTTAGCAACAAGTTTGGCCTTATATCGTTCGATATTACCTTTTGAGCTGCGCTTGGTCTTAAAGACCCATTTACACCCGACCTTTTTGCATCCTTCAGGCAATTTAACGAGATTCCAAACTTGATTTTGATCCATAGATTTTAACTCTTCTTCCATGGCATTCAACCATTGAGTAGAATCATCACATTTCATGGCTTGTGAAAATGAACCTGGATCATTACCAATTCCTAAGTCAATTTCTGACTCTTGTAGATAAACCACGTAGTCATTAGAAATAGCCGACCTCCTTTCTCTTTGAGATCTTCTTAATGCTATTTCTTGTGGCTCAACTACTATAGGTTCAATATTGACATTTTCATTATGAAGTGTTTGATCATTAATTTGTTGTTCTTGATTATTGTTAGATTGAACTATACAACAACTTTAGAAGTTTTGGGTAGAGGAACTTCCACCCTAACTTCTTGAATGCAAACATCACGCATTCTTTCACTCCCACTAATGTCAACATTTTCAATGAACCTAGCATTTCCAGATTCAACAATTCTTGTACTATGATTAGGACAGTAAAATCTATACCCTTTGGATTTCTCTGCATAACCAATGAAGTAACCACCGGTTGTTCTTAAATCCAATTTCTTTTCATGTGGATTGTAAATTCTTACTTCTGCTGGACAACCCCAAACATGCAGGTGTTGTAAACTGGGTTTCCTTCCCGTCCACAGTTCAAAGGGAGTCTTTGGAACTGCCTTACTAGAAACCCTATTTAATAAATACATAGAAGTCTTTAATGCATGCATCCACAATGATAAGGGTAGAGATGAATAACTCATCATACTCCTAACCATTTCTATTAAAGTACGATTACGCCTTTCTGCTACACCATTTTGTTGTGGTGTACTTGGCATTGTGTATTGAGCACAAATACCATATCTTTCAAGGAATTTAGCAAATGGACCCGGACATTGTCCCGATTCATTGTACTTTCCATAATATTCACCACCTCTATCCGACCTTACTATTTTCACCTTTTTTATCTAATTGCCTTTCGACCTCTTTAATATACACCTCAAGTGCATTCACTGATTGAGATTTATCATGCAATAGATAAATATAACCATAATGTGAAAAATCATCAATAAAGGTGATAAAATAACTTTCTTTACCAAAAGATGGAACATCAAAAGGACCACATATATCGGTGTGCATAATCTCAAGAAGCTCTGTGCTTCTTGTGGCACCTTTCTTACTGTGCTTTATTTGTTTACCCTTAATACAATCAATACATACTCGAAGATCAGTAAAATCCAAATTTGGAAGAATTTCATTCTTCACTAATCTTTGCATTCTTTCTTTGGATATATGACCCGAACGTTTATGCCACAAGTAAGTAGAATTCTCATCCACTAAATTGCGTTTAGTGCCAACATTATAATGCAAGGTCATTAAGGTCTCAGTAAAAGCATTATCAAGTTTAAACTTGTAGAGACCATCACATAAAATTCCAGTTCCAATAAGATTATTATTCTTATACAAACTGAAAGATCCACAACCAAACTTAAAAGAGAATTCCGCTACATCAAGTTTTGGCAAAGAAACTAAATTGCGGGAAAAAGTAGGTACATAAAGGGTTCGAAACAAATCCAAATAATGCCCAATATCTAAGATCAAACGATAAGTGCCAATGCCTTCAACTGGAGCTTTGTTTCTATTCCCCATGAGCACATAATTCTCATTTGGCTTTATGGTTTGGATCGAAAGAAATCCATGCATCATATTTGAAACATGAGTGGTGGCACCAGAATTAATCCACCAAGTATTATGAGGAACTTTAGTAAAGTTTGATTCAAAACATACTAAAGAACAAGGCTTACCTTTCTTTTCGAACCAAGCTTTACGCTTCAGACAATCTTTCTTCATGTGTCCAATTTTATTGCAAAAGTGACACTTAATAAGATTGTGTTCCTTCTTGTGGATTTGAGAAACCTTAGAAGAGTCATTCAAGTTGTGTAAACCGTTCTTCTTGCTCCTTCCACCTTTCCTTTTGGAATTCTTCTCAGCTTCTTGATGACTTAAGAGATGAACAAAATGAGCATTTTGATTCTTTATCCTTGTTTCCTCTTGAACAAGCATACTGGCCAATTCATTTACATTCCACTTGTCTTTTATAGTGTTGTAATTCATTTGAAATAGCCCATATTGTTCATGAGGCAAGGAATTAAGTATGAACTGTACTCAAAAGTACTCATCCACGTTCATTCCCAAAGTCCTTAATTTTGCTGCTAAGTTTGTCATCTCTAGTACATGTTCATGCATGGTACGTGAACCATCATATTTCATGGTGGTCAAAGTACTCATCAATGTATCAGCTAGTGACTTATCAGCAGTTTGAGAACGCTCTTCCACAAATTTCATAAATTCCTTAGCATTGTCAGTTTTGGGAAGAGTTGTCTTTAAGTTATTTGCAGCTGTCATTCGCATAAACATTAAGCTTAATCTGTTTGATCTTTCTCAAGCTTTATGGAGAGACCTTTCATTATTGCTGCTCTCATCAGTAATAGCAGCCGGTTTCTCAATTTGAAGTACTAAATCAAGATCCAAGACACCTAAGTGAAATTGGACTTGTTCACTCCAATTAAGGAAATTCATTCCATTGAATAAAGGAACAGACGAAGCATGCGAATGCAGAGAAACAGGTACAGATACTGCAAATATAAAAGAATATACTCATACATTAATACTTTGAGAATATCACATTATCATATTCAAATTAAACATTACATGTATATCATAGTTCTCCTTTGGGTGATCTTATAATATACAAATGTACAATAAACCACAATAATGCTAATAACTTTTATTTGGTAATTATAAATACACCCTATTAAAATTTATTTGATAACTTTGGATATACAAACAAATTTAACAAGACATATTAATTACCAACTATTATGTTCATGAATTATAAGAAATTGATTAACCTTTGGGTCAATCCCTAACTCCTTATAATAAATGAACGTCAATATACCCATGACACCAATAAAGATATGTAATATATCAATTCCAATCATAGCATCAATTAATCATGGGTAATTGAAAGAAACATTATACAATTTCAAAAATTCAAGACATTGTGGTTCGGCCACTTTGGTGACTAACAAACCACTCATAATTGAATTCTTGAAATTGTAAAACACTATAATTGTTTCATTCATAAACATTTACCAAAATTGCATGCTGAGGGTAAAATCGTAAATTAATGCATAAGGAAAAAACTGTAAAATCAGGATCGATAGGGGGCAGAACCGTAAATTCAGCATCCAGTGGCACAATGGTAAACAATTCAGTCAATGGCAAAACAGTAAATCAAACGGTCTAGGGCAGAATCGTAAATAAACATATAAGAGGCAGAAACATAATTAGCGGAGAAGGGCAGAACCGTAAATAAACGACGGAGAGGGCAGCAGGCGCGTGTGGTGCATTCGCCTCAACTGCTGCGTGGGCGCGTGGCGACCACGCGCCTAATGCATGCACGAGCGCGTGTGACGCATACACCCGTGCCTTCACCGAGGGCGTTACGCGCACACGCTTGGCTCGTGGATCCACGCGCCTACAACCGCAGCGTGTGCGTGGCTCCACGTGCCTTCTTGATCACGCCCATTCGCTAAATTTTTTTTTTTTAGGCATTCTACCATTCAAGTCTCCTCCAACAGCCGATCTCCGATCAAATTAATGAGTGGGTTTTGGAGACCACTCCGCCACAACCACACAGATCCAAGATTCGGCGAAATAAATTAGAACAAGAAATCATTTCAACAACTTTGGCAAATAACAAAAAGACCAAAATCGTTTAACGAATCCAAACCCATAAACCATAATCGAAAAATTATGAGATCTTAAACCTTGCTCTGATACCAACTGTAAGATATAACGTAATCCTTTTATGGGGAAAATTTATGACATCTAGGATCTTAGATCTTCATGATTTTCACAATAAGAGGGATGAAGACATACCTTTATCCATAGCATTTCCCTCGAAGATAATTGTTGCAGAAAACGGAAGAAACGAAGAAATCTGATTTCTCTCCCTTACCCACTTTTCTCTTAACATATCTTATCGATGGAGGATAAAAATAAATGTTCTTTTTCATGCGTTGTCGTGGGTGGAGAGAGGACCAGATTCTTTTATATATACCCATTCAAGTGGTGCCTTCCATCAAAGCATATCCCACTTCATAAAAGTTGCACCTCTTCCGAGGAACTTTAGCTTCTCAATAGAATTACACCTTTTCTTCTATTTTTCATAGCCAATACATTTTAGCATTTAAATATTT